TTTTTGCCAACTTTTATCTCTCTCTCTCTCTCTCTCTCTCTCTCTCTCTCTCTCTCTCTCTCTCTGGTTTTATTTCTTTCTTGTTTAGTATATTGCTTTTTTCTGTAGGAAGATGCTGATTAGGTCAGAAGACGTTAATTAGTCCTATTTTTTTTTAAAGGGTTCGGGAGGGTGTTAATGTTTCGAACCTTTGGTGGTATTGGCTCACCGGCTAGAAGTGATGTTTAAGTCTATAATTGTTGAACAATCACGGGACAACAATCAAGTACGACTTGCGTTACCAGGATAGCGAGAAAACTCGGAGATAGATACATTTAGATCAAGTTCCCATAATTTTTGAGCAATCACGGGACAACAATCACGTACGACTTGCGTTACCAGGATAGCGAGAAAACTCGGAGATACATTTAGATACAGTTCCCTTCTCCAGCTCAGCCTATGTGTGTTAACCTTTGCCGGGGCTTCACGTGATAACATGCAGATAATGACATACAATAGTCCAACTGTCTATCTACCTTTGTGTATGGAAAGGACGCATTGTTGGGCCAAACTCGTTGCTCTGTCCAAAATCCTTGTTTCTCTCTGTGGCTGCTATGTCTGGTCATAGGGTACTCATCCTGTCTTGCCTAACTTTTCTTGCTTAACATCAGATCAAAGCTTCTTGTTCTGGGATGAACGCATCCTTTTGTCACTGAGTGATGGCTCAAACCTTCTCGTCCTTTCACTGCCATATCTAACGCTGGAAAACAGCCACTCTCTTGACCTCACATGGACACTCACAATACCTCTTCCTAGCTTGCCTCTGGGTCAAAAAGCTTTTTTCGCCCAACTCACGACGCTCTTTACTTAGACACTGATGACTCCTGAACTAACCATGCTGGCTTTGTGACTTGGTCTTTGGTTTTACCACTGACCTCTATCACACTAGACATTTTTATGGAAATATTGGTGCACCTAGCGTTACTCGCACGCGTTATTATATTCTTTGTTTATACTACCCTCTTCTGCACTATCAGAACACGCGATAATATTTGAACTTTCGTATTAGCGTTACATTGAGATATATCACCAAAGCCGGTTCATTAGGAAATAAATGTGAACATGTATTACAACTGCGATACCGAAAATAGATCAAATAACTGCAGCCACTTGAAAAACTAAAGAATCAAGAAGAACCGAAGATCTAACGACACGTAGTAGAAGAACTCAGTTGAAGAACAAAAGAACCCTGAATAGTCTTGGTCATGTCTTATTTAGCTGACCATTCGGGGGGGGGGGGGGGGGGGCATGCGTGGCTGTTTTTTGCACGGGGTTAACGCTTTGTTAGTGCTGCATGAAGCTCTGGGGGTTTAACACCCTCACGAGCAGAAGAAGGTGTTAGAGGAGTTTTAGATAAACCAGTGGCTATTAACTTTTCTAGTACGGCGACCCTATAATACAATTTCCTTACTTTTTTGGCGACCCCTAACCATAGTTATTTCCGTTGCTTCTTCACCACTTTAGTGAATTTGTGTTTTTCCGTGGTATTTGGCGACCCCCAGTGAAAGGGTCGTTCGACCCACAAAAGGGTCGCGAACCACAGATTGAGAACTGCTGAGCTAAATCTTTGTTGTGTTTGAGCTAAACAAATCTTTGCCAGCTAGAGTTTGTTTCTGACTTGACTAACTGTGGCACACGACACTATCCGTCTTTCATTTTTGCTACTTAAATGTCAGGTGTTTTTTTTTTCAGGGTGGTGGCGTGATTCTTTAAATTCTTTCTATTGTATTTTTTTCCCTGTTAGATTTATATTGTCCTTCATTATATCCTTTATTTTGTTGGAGTTTTTTTTATCTTCCCAATCCAAATCCTTCCAGATACCCATTCTTTCTTTACTGGGAGCAATATCTTCTGTAGTTCCTCCTTCTTCTACCTGCTGAAGGTACTAGTGCTCTTGCTTTGCCAACTTAGTCGCCTCATCGCAACTGCCAGGCGTTCGGTTTCCAAGGTGGTGTTCGGTTTTCAAGGTGGTGTTCGGTTTTCAAGGTGGCGTTTGATTTGCCATAAAAAATATAGTACGTGCATGTGTGGTGGTCAGAAAAGCCATGTAAACGCACTTACAGCTAGAACAGAGTAAGTACTTGACAATAAAAAGTTTAAATATGCCTCGTTTATTTTTAAATGTGTCTAAATGTGACAATAATGTCCTTTTGCAGAATCTCTTCCTTTAATGCGAAATCGACAGCCACCAAAAGAAAGTCCGTATGCAGAGAGGAATATCAGTATCACCATCACAGTGTATAATAACACTGACAGATATAACATGACAATGTCTTTACCGCACAATGCAATATTGAGTATAAAAAGTTTAAAATTCGTAACAACAGCAGACAAGACAGAAACATTTTGGAACCAACGTCGCAGTCAAGAGAACAAAATATCACTACCAAGTTTAGAATCATTTGACTCCGGAGATGTTTTACGTACTACAGAAGATAGGGAACTTCCAAGAAGAATTCACGTCAAACGAGTCAGACGGGCCACCAGTAAATTCACAGGACTGGTTGTTGGCGCCTCTAGAGACAGTAAACTCCTACAAACTGTTACAAAGACACTTAGTACTGTGGAATCTTCAGTTTGGAGTCACCAGTCGCAATATTCAAAACCGTTTAGCGCTTCCAAGCGTGAGCCATCTGTGATACTGGGAACTTTCAGCTCAGATTTCAGGACCAACTTTCATGGCTCAAAATCGGAGGCGAACCTTCGAAGAAGTTCGGAATATAGTTTGTCGGATGTGAACTCCTTGTCAACGCTGCTGATTCTTCAGTGTCTTATAGAGGCTGCGATATATGGCAGCGCTACTACGCCAGCGGCAAGCAACGTTAGCATTGGTGTGGAGTCTTTGAAGAACTTCTACACCCATACGTACTCTACGGGGAGGTAAGTACCCTTCTTTTTCAGTCTTTCAACATGCATTACGCCCCATGGAGAGAGACTGGGCCATAGGAGAATAATGCCAGTGCAATGACTGCTTTTTCCATCTCTTTCAGTGCAAAGGAATTCACCATAGGGTCATATGCTACACTATATAAGGTACACAACTGGTAACAATAATTAACGTATAGTGTTAAATTAGCCATCTACATAACCACAAATATAACCAAAGCCTCATTGAAAGCAGCCCTTCGCAGGCTTCGGTTGAACATGGTCATCTTTATATTAAACTAAATTACTGTTCCAATCCCCGTCCTCTGTTATGTTAACCCATTAATTTTTAGCGGCTACTTTCTTTATCAAAGCTCTATTTTTAGGCTCAAAGACACTAAACATAGTTACACCATAGAATACATCAAATTCAGCATCAGGTTCAGGATTGTTTAGGTCAACACTTTATGGGAATTAAACAGTTAAGGAGTCACAGGAGATTCAAATGGCGGGCGAGATATAGTTTGTAAAATAAAGCAAACACTGACTGAGGCACAGGTAAGTAAAGTGAAGGACTATTTACTTTACCTGGTCGACATAGGCACAAAAGTCATTTTTTTTTTTAAGTGCCTGTTCTGTCTGGACCTGAACCCAAACCTTCTGATTCGCAGGCGAACATATAGCTGCTATACCACAGCGAGTCCATTCTGATGCACAATGCATGAAGCAACTTATATTTTGTCACAGACTACAAACAAGACAACATGAAAAGGATTGGAGGAGAAAGGGGGGGGGGGGAGAGGGGGGTTCGTTTTTAAATGAGCATTCAACATTAGGGGTGTTGTGGCGAAGGGAATAGGACAGTATTCACGACCATATCCTGTCGAGCATAAGATTATAATATACACATAAAATGTATTTCTAAACCAAACAAAAATCGATGGAAAATTCAAAATCAACTTTTGTGATTAACTTCACATCTTTCTGCTTCTTCTTAGAGTTCACTGCGTGTTAACGTCGGCGGAAAGTTCTGGTTTAAGTCCACTTTAAGGCTTTGCTTCTGTTCCAGAATTCGATTTTTTCAAGCATCTGCCTTTTATAGATCTGGCGTATTTGGATGCAGACTGTTGGTTCCTCGTCTCTCAGGCAGACGAACTCTCTTTACGCCTCATTAGTCGACTTTTGCGACAGGCGTTTTAGGCAGCAGTTAGTCTATCCCCGCACCACCCACCCACCCTGCCCCCAGCTAATGAGACGCAGGAAAATACACCTCAAAACTTCATATCCGCCGCCTTTTCTTCTCAGGACATTTCCTGATTTAAATTTTAGGCTTGCGTCGACTTATAACTAAATACTCCATAATTAGTTGAATATCACGATACGCTTGTTAGTGGGCAGTGAGTTTATTATCCCAAACAGGTCTTATTCGCCGTCTTTACTTTCGGGGACACTTCCTGATACCAACTGTAGTGCCGGGTCGACATCAGAGCCACGGTCAGTTATACTATTCCGCATCTTACGCTGCATCGAACACAATCCTCCGGATCGACTGGAAAGCCTCTAACCACTGCACAGCCTCTACTCCCACATCCATAAGGATTATAATCATTTTCCTTCAAGTTGTCCCTTTGTGTGATCTACTCTCTGCGCCAACAGTGATCTGCAGTTCCAGTCAGCATAGGACTGTTAGTGTTGGTACGCCTTATGCATTTTTACTTTTAAGGGTGTGAGCTTCAAGATTTTGCATAGACTGAAATGATTTCACTAGTTTTCGAAAGTGGACAGTGATGAAGGTTTTGTTTGATTTCCACTGGTGCAAGTTCGGAGCAGTTAGAAGGCGACCTTTCGCTGTGGTGTTGGAACCTCGACTCAATAACTATGACTAACTAACTAATTCACTAAGTGAATAAATAACTAACTGATTGACGGACTGACTGATTTACTGACTAACTGACTGACTAACTAAGTAACTAACTAACTAACTAACTAACTAACTAACTAACTAACTAACTAACTAACTAACTAACTAACTAACTAACTGATGACTGACTGATTGAATGATTAACTGACTAACGGACTGACTGACTGACTGACTAACTAACCAAATAATTGATTGACACACTGTCTAACTAACTAACCAATTGCTGGACAGATTGACCAGACTAACTGACTGACTGACAGACTGACTAGGTAACCAGCTAACTGACTGAATTAAACTGAGTGACCGACTGACTAAATGATTATCTAACTAAGTATCTAACTAACTGATTGATGACTGACTAATTAACTTCCTAATTACCTGAATGACTGACTAACTAACTTTCTGACCGACTGACTAACTAACTAACCAACCAAAAAACTGATTGACTGACTAACTAACTAACTGATTGATTGACTAAGTGACTAACTAACTGATTGACTGATGACGAACTAACTTAATTCCTGACTGACTAACTAATTATCTAATGAACTATCTAACTAAATTATTGATGACTGACTAACTAACTGTGTGACTGACTGACTGATTGACTAAACTAAAAAAAAAACTAATTAATTGACTGACTGACTAACAAACTAAGTACCTATTTCACTGACTGAGTAACTTACTGACTGACATAGTGACTGACTGACTAACTAACCAAAAAACTGATTGACTAACTAACTAACTCATTGACTGACTAACTAACTAATTGGCTGACTGACTGACTAACTAACTGTTTGACTGACTGACTGACTGACTGACTAACTAGCTAAGCGATTGACTGATGGCCAACTAACTTACTAACATACTAACTAATTATCTAATGAACTATCTAACTAACTGATTGATGACTGACTTCTCAACTAACTGACTACCGACTGACAGACAGACTAAACTAAAAAACTAACTAATTAACTGACAGACTGACTAACTAACTAACTAAGTAACTAACTGACCGACTGAGTAATTGACTGAATTACTGAGTGACCGATTGACCATCTAATTAATCAACCGACTAACTAATTGACTAAACTAATTAACTAACAGACTGACTTATTAACTAACCTACCAGCTAACTAAAAAAGGTAAACTAACTAATTAAATAAAACTAACTAACAAAAGAACTCACTAACTAAACTAACTAGCTACAGTAACTAACTAAACTAATAACCAAGTAACGAATAATTAAGTAACTAACTAACTATATAACAAACTATATAACTAACTAACTATATATCTAGCTAACTGTATAGCTATTTAACTAACTATATAACTAACTAGTCAAATAACAAACTAACTATATAACTAATTATATACCTGGCTAATCTAACTGACTTACTGACTGAGTAAATTAAATAAACTAACAAAACGAAAAAAACTAACTTAACTAATCTAACTAACTAGCGAACATACTAATTTACTAACCACCTAACTAACTAGCAAACTAACTAGAGATATTCAACTTCACTGCACTAGTTTTTTTCCTACATGGCTCTGTCTCTTTCTGCAGAACCTTTAGCCGTATGCCAGGAGCGCTCACATAGCACGAGCTCCGTAGCTTCGGCGACGATCCCTATGAATCCAACTAGCTTAATAACTAACTAGCAATACTAAACTAAATAACTACTAGCATAGGGCCGCTGGAGTTTCTCGGGTGCCCAATGACCCTAGTTATCAGCCCTAAGCTGATCTGTGAATGTCTACTGACTTGTCATGAAAGAAGTTCATAGTGATTTCATGTTACAAATTTCAAAACTCCTTTAACGTTCCAGTTTCGTTGTCCGTTTAAATCCATCTGAAATCGAGGCTTAGATATTTGATTCTTGACAACATGATGTTTTACGAAGTTGAGGATTGAAACAAATGAAGTGTATATCATACTGAGAGAATGTCAGATGACAGAGAGTTAAAAACTGAAGTAGTAATTTCATAACGTGCCGTCATAACACAAGATTTGTTGAAGTACCAGTACAATAAATATAGGTTTAATATTAGGAGGAGCGGCTTGTCGAGCGGTTACATGGTCCCCCAGTAAGGTGATGGAGTGTTTCTGTCAGGGGCAAAATGAAACATACTAACCTGCACACTCCGTGGCGACAGCACTAGCTAGGCTGCCCTAGAGCCTCATGTTCAGCCCCCCCCCCCCCCCCCGCCGTTCATACCAGCCTAAAAAGTGAGAAAACAGTGACAGTTTACAGTTTAATATTATCGACCACTTTACATTTTATTTATATGAGTGGTTGTCGTATGGACCCTAGGATAACGGTTTTCCCGGGGGCCCATAAGGCTATGAAGACTGCCCTTGGATGTATACTCGGTTCTTCGCTGTCCAGCTGATCACAAAAGAGTTCGTTTGCTTCCAGATGAGTGTGCTTCATATCTCTCCAGGGTTGTAAAATCAACCGTTTCAAAATCGAAATGGGGTTTACCAATGGTTTTATCGATTGTGGTACTTTCAAGAATACTAGGTCAGTGTTCTTGAAACTGTTGTGGACCAAGAACATAAGAGAATTATGTCGCTGACAGGATATTGTCTAAGGCAGAAACAAAAACGCAAAAAGCATATGCTATCTCCAGAATGAAAACTGTTCGCAGTGGATTTCCTGCTTTCTTTG